CTTAATAGTTTTATATATATCTAGCTAGATAGCTTAATAGTTGTATATATATCTCTAGCTAGGTAGCTTAATAGTTGTAAATATATCTAGCTAGGTAGCTTATGAGTTTTATATATATCTATCTAGATAGCTTAATAGTTGTACAATATATATACACAGAACAGAGATTAGAATGCATGAAGGTTATCAGAGAATTTATTTAGAGAAAATTCAATAATTTTCAAGACATTTTTTTCTATAAAAAGATGTTCCAGGGCACAAAAGGTTATATAGCACGAATGTGTATGCAGTATGGAAACATTACAACAAAAGGGCGGTTTTACACTTTTTCTACTTAATTCCACTCTATACTTATCTATTCTCTTTGTGTATATATATCTAGCTATGGTATGGTATGGCTCTGGTTGATGAAGACTCGAGCTTAGAATACAGATTGTTACACCAGATCCTCACCATTTTCACAGGGGCAACCAGACTAATATCAGGGGTTTAACCAGACTAATACCAGGGGTTCAACCAGACTAATATCAGGTGTTCAACCCGACTATTATCAGGGGGAAACCCGACTAATTTTTCGGTGTGCAATCAGACTAATACCAGGGGTGCAACCAGACAAATATCAGGGGTGCAACCTGCAATCTAATATCAAGGGGGCAACCAGTCTAATATAAGGGGTAGCCAGGCTATTATAAGGAGGACAACCAGAGTAATAACAGGGGGGCAAAGTCATGGCCAAAAAGGATCTTTGTATCCCACCACCCTCTGCGTAGCAGGATCTCAATGTCCCCCTGTATCCCCCTAGCAGGATCTGTGTACCCCCCTTGTATCCCCCTAGCAGGATCTGTGTATTCACCTAGCAGGATCTGTGTACCCCCCTTGTATCCCCCTAGCAGGATCTGTGTATCCCCCTGTATCCCCTTCGCAGGATCTGTGTATCCCCCTTATTACTCCCCACTAGCAGGATCTGTGTATTCCCCTGTATCCCCCTAGCAGGATTTCTGTATCCCCCTAGCAGGATCTATGTACCCCTCTTAATAATCCCCCTGGAAAGATCTGTGTATCCCCCTGATAATCTGGACACCTATCCAAACCCCAGCCTCCATACAGAGGCCGCTCCAACTCCCGTCCATGAGGATTCATTTCTTTATTTAGATAATCCATTTTCATCCACCCTCAACTCATCCATTTTCATCCATCCTCATCTCATCCATTTTCATCCATCCTCATCACATCCATTTTCATCCATTCTCTTCTGATCAAATTCTCATCCATCCTCATATCATCCATCCTCATCTCATCCATCCTCATCTTATCTATCCTCATATCATCCATCCTCATCCATTCATCCTCATCTCATCCATCCTCATCTCATCGATACTCATCTCATCCATCCTCATCCATCCATCCTCATCTCATCGCTACTCATCTCATCCATTCTTTAGTTTAGTTTAGTTTAATCTAAATCTAAATAAAATATTAATATATTGTATATTTACATTAATGGTGTCAATTTTCATTTTGATAAGAATTCAGGACAAACAAACTTTTTGGAAAATTCAAGATTCTTTTGGCATTAAAATTAAATTGAACTATATATATAAAGTTGTAATCTCTGTTTGTCTGTCTGTTTGGACCGATTCGCCTCACATTTTATTTTGGAACTCGGGAGACCCACGGAAATCTTCTTAGCTTGGTTTTCAGATTCTAAGTTGAGAGGGTGGACTTTAACAGCGAAAATTTAGTTTCCCGGTAATTTCGGTTAAGTGCGTGTAAACTGCGGACAACGCTGGGTTCCCTAGCTAGAGCATAGAAAATGTATAGATATAAAACAAATATTTTATTTTTTGCAAATATGCTTTCTTAAAAAAACACAGCAAAGGCAATTTTGCAACAAATACAAGTGGAGCTTTTAGCAAAAGATTGTGATAATTATGTGCTAATCTTTTTGAAAAAAACGAGAAATTCAAGTTTTTAATTCAAGCAACGATAATGATATGAAAAAATAATTATCTGATTTAATATAAAAATGAAACAGAAAGCAGGGTGCAGGGCCGGGGGGGAGGGTCCAGGGGTGAAAATTGAGATGTATTATGTACTACATGTAGATATATATATAGCTAGTATATTATAAATTTTGTTCCATGTTTTTATTACTGCGGACAAACGGACATTTGTTTTTATTCCGAAATTGTATTGTTTGTGTGTATAAACATCCAAATATAACTTCAGCTTGAAGTCATTGCGTAGAGTATCAAGTCACAAAAAAACTGATTACTTACTCGCCCCAAACTCTGATTTACTATTCCTTATATCTTTGCAACTTAATATTCCTAAATGTCGCAAACCTCTGATATTTCAAACTATGAATTCTGCTTGATCTGTTTCTATATAACAAAACTATAAAAGGTTCCTACATCTTCAATGCACATAATTGTAGCATTTTTCAGTACACATTAACTATAATGCCTATTTAATGTAGAGACCTACATTTTTGCATGTCGTAAATGCATGCCTAAATTGTGCATAAGTTGTGCTTAAGTTGTGTGTAAATTGTGCGTAAGTTGTATTTTAATTGTTATATGTAAATTGTGCGTGTGAGGAACGTGCTTTGATTCTATATTATTCTTACTCTTAAACCAACTTCATCATAAGGGGAGACAAATATTAGACATAATATAGACAAATATCAGACAAATATTATACAAATATTATACAAATATTAGACATTATCTAGACAAATATTAGTCAAATATTAGACAAATATTAGACAAATATTAGACAAATATTAGACAAATATTAGACAAATATTAGACAAATATTAGACAAATATTAGACACATATTAGACAAATATTAGACATAATCTAGACAAATATTAGTCAAATATTAGACAAATATTAGACAATTATTAGACAAATATTAGACAAATATTAGACAAATATTAGACATAATCTAGACAAATATTAGTCAAATATTAGACAAATATCAGACAAATATTAGACAAATATTAGACATAATCTAGACAATTATTAGTCAAATATTAGACAAATATTAGATAAATATTAGGCATATTCTAGACAATTATTAGACAAATATTAGACAAAAATTAGATAAATATTAGATAAATATTAGACAAATATTAGGCATATTCTAGACAAATATTAGACAAATATTAGATAAATATTAGACAAATATTAGATAAATATTAGTTAAATATTGGACAAATACTAAACAAATATTTGACAAATATTAGACAAATATTAGACAAATAGTAGACAAATATTAGACATAATCTAGATAAATATTAGACAAATATTAGACACATATTAGACATATTTTAGACAAATATAAGAATAATCTAGACAAATATTTGACAAATATTAGACATAATCTAGACAAATATTAGAAAAATATTAGACATATTCAAGACAAATATTAGGCAAATATTAGGCAAATATTAGGCAAATATTAGACAAATATTAGACAAATTCTAGACAAATATTAGACAAATATTAGACATAAATTAGACAAATATTAGACATATTCTAGACAAATATTTGACAAATATCAGACAAATATTAGATATAAATTATAAATAATCTAGACAAATATTAGACAAATATTAGACATAAAATTAGACAAATATTAGACAAGAAGTTAACAACTTACAAGCAGAAAGTAGAAAAATATTATACGAAAATAAAAAATAAACTAGAAAATAAAATAAAAAGACAAACAAACAGACAAACAGATAGAGAAAACCCAACACAGAAATATGCAAACAACTAGACAGACATTCACACAGAAGTGAAAAGCTAAGCAACAAGGAATATAAAGGTGGAAACTGGAAATGAAGATGGTATTTGGCTGATAATGATAATACACAATACAATTTTTATTCATAAAGATATCGAAGTCAGGATTTAAACCTGATGCGACTGATGATAAAATAACAACCGTGTTAGGAAAACTGTGAGTAAATGTGAAGACAATATTTAACTAATATATCCGCTTCGGTTCATGTAAACCAGATTAAACCCAGTATCTCTTCCCTTTTATCTCTCTATACACTATATACACAACTTTTCATAACATATTCAAATTCACTCATCTTCATGGCCCACTGTGAACTAAAATATGAACATTCTGACGAGACGCAACAGGATTTTGCCGAATTCTCCTTGAAAACTGAAACCAGAAAAAAACTTTTGGACATTTTTAAGTCAATGAATACAAAAAAATAAGAATGGCCTGTTCGGCCGGTTCTCAATAGTTGATGAATAATAATGTCTTGATTGTGTTGATGGTTTGGTTCGTAACAATCTGTCTAGTGACTCTGGTGAGAAGATATAATACAAGATTAGGAAGCGTTGAAAGAAGATAAGAAAAAAGTATTTCTGGGATGAAAGGGGGGGGGGAGGCGTGGGATAAGGGGGAGAACAGGGGGGTAGTGGTGGGGGGGGGGCAGTTTTGACAGCCCACCAAATCATCTTATCCTGTTATCTTCTTCTATGAGTTTCTTATCCAAATCTATTTTCTCCATCTATATATATAAGAATACAGGGTTACGCACAAATAAACTGAGAGTTTAGAGACGACTGTACGGAATTCTTACCGCCTTCCTCCTTATATTCATGATTCCCTGCAACTGTTTACCTGTTTTTTCGCCAAATCATAAAAAGACTATATTCAAGGCAGTAAACTTACTTTTACCTTGAGATCGCCATATTTTAAGGGTTTCAGGTCGTCTTTACAGTCTCATCCTTTGTGGGTAACCCTGTAGATTTGTATACATCTATACATCCAAATCAATACAATCTATATTCTAAAATATATCTATCCATCTATACATCTATCTATTTATAATTTTGTCTAAGCTTCATGTATAATATTAATTTCTATCTTGAAAACTTTTCTCTAGCTCTATAACTACAAATGTTCATTGATATTTATAAACCTTTAAGACTACCCGCCTATCCTTCCTTCCCATCTACCTACCTACCTAAATACATGTGCTTGCTACTTGAAGGCAGCATCTGTGTGGGCGGGGCTAGATTGAGTGGGTGTGGTACATGGGCGGGCATAGCTAAGCTCCCGTAAGCTCCACCCCTGAACTCCATCACTTGAACTTCTAAACTGTCTGATAACAAAATATGTCACTGTGATCTTGTTGCATGGGATAACAGGCTTATATACATATATATAAATATATATGTATAAATCTCATTAACTATCTATCTATTCATTATTCAGGCCTTTCTCACACCTCATGCCTGTAGCATACATAAAGTGACTGGATAGTGGATCACTGGATTGCGGCATGGATCGGAGGGTTTAAGAAACCGGGCCGATACATTCTCCCCGGGCCGAGCCCTGGCTCTATCCTCGGCCCGAGCACCTCCCGCTCCCAGCATTTCAGAATATTAAACGGCATTGTGCGGCGAGGATGGATGTAGACAAGAGGTCGCATAATAAACCTCTCGGAGCATCCTCATCCGTCCTTCCACTCATCTATTCATTCATTCTTTCATCACAACTGCGGGCACCACTTCAACAATTAATTAATCAAATCTTCATTGTGTAGGATGTTATTGTTCGTACTTTAGATCAATGAGTTTATAAAAACAAAACTTATTTACTTCTAGAAACATGTTTATTTAAATAATTTCAAAATGCTACTGTATAAAACATACTATGCTGGCTTCTTTAATACACTAAATTTAAAGCCTAAGCCCTGTAATATATTTAATAGGCCCACAAAATGCTTCTGAATGTTTACTGCTCTCTACACCCTATAGTATATATAGCCTGAGTTTATACCTATCGTAAAATAAAAGAATTAATGACTGAATACTCAAACTAACCACTGTACTGCAAACCAAATGAATTATCTTGACGCAGTGCAAATTGTTTCTAATCTGACCACATTTAAACATTTACATGGTTCCTAAACCCCTTCCCCCTCCCACAATAAATCTATGTATAAATAGTAGTAATCTGTTTGTTTGTTTGTATGTCTGATCATAACTCAGGAACCCCTGGACCGATTTGCCTCCAACTCGGGGTAGGAGCAAATGAATTTTTGTAACTTGGTTTAGAATTTCAGTGGTTTGACTTTTGGAAAAACTGCAGGGAAATCTAGATGTCCAAGCTAGTACACAATAAAGAAAATTATTTGGGGAGGGTAATAATAAAAATGCACAAAAGAGTACTAAACCCAATAGTACTAAATTCAATAGTACTAAACCCGACAGTACTAAACCCAATAGTACTAAACCCAATAGTACTAAACCCAATAGTACTAAACCCAATGGTACTAAAAAACGAATGAATGAGGAGTAGGGGGAGAAAAAAGAGGAGAAAGGTGTAGAATTGGAGAAATGGTGTTAGAGTGAATGGTCGGAGAGAAAAAAACGAAAGAATTAAGGGGTGGATAGAAAATAGAGCAAATTGAGGGGAGAGAAGAAAATAGAGGGAAATGAGAGGGAGAAAAAATAATTAGGGGAGGGGCAGAAAAAAAGGAAAAAAATCAGGTGGAGAGCAGAAAAGTGGAATAATTACGGTAGGGAAGATAAAAGAGGAGAAACGAAGGGGAATAGGAGAAAAGGGTGTATCAAGGTGTTTGGTATACAGGGTGAGTAAAAAACAGGGATTTTCGATGTTTTGGACAATATTTTCAAAATTTTTGTGTTGTTTTGTGTTTGGATTTTAAGCACAAAAAAATGAAATGTCAAAAAGAATTTAAAATGATTTTGGAACTTTAAAAAAAAATCTGCGAAACCAACCTTTTTTGAAAAAATAGTTTAAGGTTAAAATTTGATAACATTCACTACAGATATCCGCTCAAAATTTTTTATTTTCAATGTTCCAAAATTATTTTTGAATTTTGTTTATGACATTATATTTTTTACTATGCAAAAAATCTGAACAAAACTAAATTTTAGAAAATGTTGATCAAAACATCGATAATCCCGTTTTTACTCACCCTGTATATTGTATCCTGAGTGGAGAGAAGGTAAACTATATGGTTTGAAATATGATAATGTTTAGTTCTGTATAATCCTAAATGAATACAAGGGGGTTCTTTTTATAACAATGGATGGGTGGAGTGGGTTACAGGGGGGCAGAAGTAGTATGTGGGGAGGGTACAGTGGAAGTATAAGGGGGGGGGGGTGGGTAAGTTCTACTTTTCACCTCAATTTTTCTTATATCCTCATCCGGACTTAGAACTGCAGCAAATTCGATATTCTCCGACCTACACAGAGTATACAGACTTCTTTTATATATATGTAGATACATATACATCTATCCTACCTTCCCTACCAACCTTCCTTCCCATTCTCCCATTTATCCAACCTTCCCAACCAACTTATATATATCTTCCCATCAATCTTACTTTCCCACAAACCTGTATTTATCTTCTAATCCTCCCATTCATCCTACCTTCCCTCCCAGCCTATACATATATTCCCATCCTCCCATCAATCCTACCTTCGCTCCCAACCTTTTTTCCCAGACTCCCATGAATCCTACGTTTCCTCACAACCTATCTTCCCATCCTTCAATCCATGCATCCTACCTTCACTCCCAACCTTTTTTCCCATCCTTCATATCTTTCGAGCTTTAATCTTTCCAGCTTTATATCTTTCAATCTTTATATCTTTCCAGCTTTATCTTTCCAGGTTTATATACATCCAACTTCATATCTTTCATAGCTTTATATCTTTCCAGCTTAATATCTTTCCAGCTTGATATCTTTCTAGCTATATATCTTTCCAGCTTTGTATCTTTCCAGCTTTATATCTTTTTAGTTTCATATCTTTCCATCTTTATATGTTTCCAGTTTTATATCTAACAGCTTGATATCTTTCCAGATTTATATCTATCCAGCTTTATATCTTTCCAGCTTTATATCTTTCCAGCATTGTATCTTTCCAGCTTTATATCTTTCCAGCTTTATATCTTTCCAGCATTATATCTTTCCACCTTTATATCTTTCCAGCTTTATATCTTTCCAGCATTATATCTTTCCAGTTTTATATCTTTCCAGCTTTATATCTTTCCAGCTTTATATATTTCCAGCATTATATCTTTCCAGCTTTATATCTTTCCAGCAATATCTTTGTGAAGAAACAATCTCAAGGAATAATAAATGTCTTAAAACATTTTTTTAAAAAGTGAATATTTGCAAATTATCTTTTTTCCATCTCATAATCTGAGTTCGTTTTCCTTATGTCCATTTGACAGACCAAATTTTTATTTTGAATAATCTTTTTTGTTTGTTTATCTTCTTGTGATTTTTTACATTCTTAAATTTTTTTTATCGATTTTGATGGTTATTATATAGTTAGAACTGACGAGAGTCAACCCAGACCGAAATATATTTTCAATAAATGTGGAACTAACATCTACTTTTTTACTCTACAGAGGTTTGGTCCATCACCATCACCGAATTTTAAATATCTTTCTGGTTTTATATTTTTCAAATTTTATAGCTTTTAATTTTCTAGTTTAATTTTTTTATGGTTTATACATTTTTATTTTTCTAGTCTATCATCTTTTCAGTTTTACTGGGACTGCATGGGCTGCATCAACGAGGTTATAGTGCATCAACTGTGGAATATGATTGTAACACTCAAGTTAAGATTTTAGATAGTCCAATAAATATTCAATTCAACACATCAATGCTGAGGTATTAACAGACCCAAAACTCTCTGTATTAAATCTGATTATTGTGTATGTTCTGTATAGCATGTGTCTTACGTCATTGGTTATTTTGGTTGCTTGAGCGTACAACAATAAAACCAAGGGATAAGGGAGCTTATACACGTAAAGGGGGTGGTGTAGTCCCCCCCCCCCTACAACTCAGAGCTATTACACTTTTAAAATCCGAAACTGAAGAGTAAAGAACATAAAAAATTAGTTTCAGGCTTTTCTGCTAGTTTTGTTTGAAGGAGAGATAAAGTAGTAGTTGGAAGGTAATTGGACTGTATGTGTACCTTTAAAGTATCCATGAAGCCAAATGTTTTTAATTTACAGTTCAAATTCCCCCCTCTCCCTATGGGGGTAAACCATTTTTTTAGCATATTTGGCATCTCTGGCATCCACCTCAGATTTATTTCTGTGTACGACCTTCATTAAAACCGCATTTATTTAACACAATAGTGTTTTGTGCTAAAAGTGAACACAAATTAATCATATTAAATTGAATTTCAAAAGTTATTTAATCATTTATTGGATAAAAGGATCTTTTGTTAAAATAAACCTGTATTTGTGAATAAGTTACGCATCTCTCTGTATGAAAAATAGCCAATAAAAGTTAATGAAAATTTTCAGATGTAGCCAAGTATGTTTTTTCAAATGCTACGGAGTGACAATTTAGGCAGTGAAAGGGGCAGGACTTTAAATATATCCGGTATAAAATGTTAAGAAATGTGAGTTAATGTCGTCTTTTGTTTCGTTATAAAAAAAGAAATAATTTTGCCTAAATGTATTCATATCTAACAATTAACTCGTCAGTGGATTTGTTGGGATTTGGGTTAAAAAGTATAAATGAATCATTAAATGGAATGAAACTTCCAAGCAAGGAAAAATGTCTTTATTCACGAGAGAAGACGACATTTGTTTACAATCCTTATTAGACCAAACAAAGTACGTTGAATTTGCGTAGATTTTCTTTGTACAGACCCATTTCATTTGAGAAGGGGATTCTTTAGACATATATCTGGCTTTAAAACATCATAAAATATACAAAATTTATAAGATTTCTTAAATGTCGTCTTCCAGTTAGACGGTTGTATTTTAAGCCCCCATTGTAATTGTATTCTCCTATAGTTCCTCCCAACCCAGTTTACTAAATGTTTCCCGAGTTTGCTACCACTGTCCATTTACTATCACATATAATATACGGTTTATTACGGTTCTCGGGAAATTGATTTAACCCCTCACCATGAAATATACACGCACACTAGACTCACACTACACGCTACTCAATCTACCTTCTACTCCGTCCTTCTTCCTTCTACTCCATCCTCCTTCCTTCTACTCCCTAATCCTTTCTTCTACTCCCTCCTCCTTCCTTCTACTCCTCCCCCTCATCCCTCGCAAAAAGAGAATAACAAACGCTGATTGATAATTTCCTATCAAATTCTTGATAGAGTATCACGAGTTTTAACTCAGCTCCTCTCACCTCATTCTACGCTTCTTATACCGGATATAACAATCTTTCCTATAATCTTTAAATATAAGTGTAAAGATATTGTTTAAATATAAACGTAAATATATTGTTTAAATACAAGTGTAAATATATTGTTTAAATATAAACGTAAATATATTGTTTAAATATAAGTGTAAATATATTGTTTAAATATAAACGTAAATATATTGTTTAAATATAAACGCAAATATATTGTTTAAATATAAACGTAAATGTATTGTTTAAATATAAACTTAAATATATTTTT